GTGACTGTATTTTTGCAACCACAGCTGCTGGTAATTTACTGTATCAGTGTATGCAGTAAAATACTGTAAACTATGATACAGTTCTACTGTAATGAATTTTACAGAAAATACTGTTTTTCACAGAATACAGTAAATGGTTTTACATTACTGATGATGTTTTAACAGGAAATAACCATAAAATAGGGTAAGACATTATGTGAGATAGATAGTAATTCACTGTAAAAGCAACAGTTTTAAACTGTGAATTCAACAGTTATACCATCAAGCCATATACGATGTTACAGTTATTTTAACAGTAATTCATCTTTAAAGGAAATTTTTTTAACAGTTATTTTTACGGTTATAAATATATAATATAATGATTCTTTGAACACTTTTGAATGTTGTGCCACTTTTAATGAGTTTCTGCCTGTATCGCTAAACGAACTCTCAAATATTGTTCAGCGTTTAAGACCCTCTAACTATCCACTGGATGCTATTCCTGCCCATTTTCTAAAAAGTGTTTTTCATGCTGTTGGCCCCTTTATTCAAAATATCATAAATGCCCTCCTTTTGTCTGGATGTGTTCCAGGAGCGTTCAAACAGGCTGTAGTCCAACCTCATCTAAAGAAACCCACCCTGGATCCTAAAATTCTGGCAAATTTTAGGCCAGTTTCAAAACTGCCATTTTTAGCAAAGATTCTTGAGAAAATAGTCTATTATCAAATGCAGTCACATTTGGACTCAAATAGAATTTTTGAAAAGTTTCAGTCTGGCTTTAAATCACTTCATAGCACAGAAACAGCACTTCTGCGCGTTTTTAATGATCTTCTTTTAACTGTTGACTCTGGTTGCTCTGTGATTTTAGTTCTTTTAGATTTGTCTGCTGCTTTTGATACTGTTGACCACTGTATTTTACTCTCCCGCTTGGAACAATATGCAGGTTTTAAAGGCACAGCACTTAACTGGTTTAAATCTTATCTCACAGACAGATGTTTGTCAGTACATCTTGGCCCCCATAAATCTAACTCTGCTCCACTTACCTGCGGTGTTCCACAAGGATCTATTCTAGGTCCTGCATTATTTTTCTCTTTATTTGTTGCCTCTAGGCTCAGTTCTTAGAAAACACAATGTGTCTTATCATTTTTACGCTGACGACCTGCAAATCTATTTGCCCTTATCACCTGCCCCTGGCTCCATTAGTAGCTTGTCCTATTGTTTAGAGGAAGTGAAATCATGGCTAGCCCAAAACTTCTTAATTTTTAATGAGAAGAAGACAGAAATTGTGGTTTTTAATCCTAAATCCTCCACTGGTTTTACATCACAACCTTGGCGCACTGTCTCCTTTTGTGAATTCCTCTGTCAGAGACCTTGGAGTATTCTTTGACAATTTGTTCAAAATGGACAAACAAATAACCTCTGTGGTAAAGGCCAGCTTCTACCAGCTCAGAATACTGAGTAAAGTGAAGGCTTACCTTCCAGCCAGTGACTTTGAACGACTTATTCACTTGTTTATAAATGTCTCGTCTGGATTACTGTAATTCGCTGTATTGTGGACTAGACCAGCTCTCCTTACAGCGCTTACAACAAGTCCAGAATGCTGCAGCTCGTTTAGTAACAGGGACGAGAAAGAGAGAGCATATCACACCTGTACTGGCCTCTCTCCACTGGCTTCCTGTTCCTTTCAGGATTAATTTTAAAATTCTAATATTTGTTTTTAAATCCCTGAATGGCCTGGCTCCTGAGTATCTGTCTGAGCTGTTATCGCGCTATGTTCCAATCAGACCCCTCAGGTCAGAAAGCGGTTTGCTATTAAATGTCCCAAAGTCATGTTTGAAAACTCGGGGTGACAGGGCCTTTGCTGTGGCTGCCCCCAAGTTATGGAACAATCTGCCTCTCCACGTTCGAGCTGCTCCATCACTGGAGATTTTTAAATCTGATCTTAAGACACATTTCTTTGCTGCGGCTTTTAACTCTAATTAAATGTTTTATAAGCTATGTTTAATTTTTTTTGTTTTGTTTGTTTGTTTTATTATTATATAGATATATTTTTCATATTTATTGTGCTGTATTTTACTATCTTTATTGTGCATGTGAAGCACTTTGGGCAGCTTGTGTTGTTGTAAATGTGCTATACAAATAAAGTTGACATTGACATTGACATTGACAAATATACCTTACCGTGAAGCCATATACAATGTCACTGTATTTTTTACGGTGAAAAAATGGCAACCAGAGCTGCCAGTTTATCACCGTAAATTTGACAAGATTTTGTTTACAGTGTAGTGTGGCAGGGTAGCTGATCATGTGGTCTCTGCCATGTGACACAGGTGTCACAAAGACTACAAAGGTCAGAGGGGAACCAGGTGACTTCCTCTTCCTGAGCAGGCCTAACACACGGCTGTTTCTGGTGAGCCAAACAAATGTAATGTTTGTACATTTTAATCTTGTTAGAAAACAAATTTGTAACTTTTGTAGACATTATTTTAAGGGTTTTAACAGTCCAGATGAGAGAGGTATGCTTTTAACTTTTATCTTATCTTATTTTATCTTTTTAATTAACTGCACTGTGTTACAGTATTAATCTTGTTTGTTTTCTCACTTTATAGCATGTCTCCTTCACCCCAGCTTTAGGGTGGAGCCACACCCCTGCAGTAGTATCCTCACCTTTTTTAAAAGCACCTTTTAATATTTTTTGTAAATAAAAGCTGCCGTATGGCTGTTAAACCCATACACTGACTGGCTTGCTTTGTTATTAAAGCTACCTGTAAATTCCAGGTGTTACGAGTAAAAAAACAGACTGGGAGTAAACTCAGGAACAGGGACAGCAAACAGGAAAACACAGAATTGCAGAGGTCACAAACAGAACAGATTCAGGTAATACAGGGTTTTCAGGAGCTTGAATGTTTGTCTTTACAGGTCGACAATCTGGCAAAGACTGAGGGAGCAGAGGGAGTATATATAGACTGGGCCTGGGCTGATTACAGAATGAGTGGCAGCTGTAGGGAAAGGAGGGAGGTGGCAAGAGGAGGACCGGAACAGACTGAGAAATGGACTGGACTGGGGAAAACAAGTAAACAAAAAGGCAGGACTGTGACAATTTATTCACATAATTAAGGAGATCTCAAATACAAACAAATGCAATCAGAGATAACAACCTGGTCCACCATGAGGCATTGGTGGGATCAGTTCATCACCACAGAAGCAGTTTATGAGGAGCCCAGCCCATACAGTATTACATGATCATTATATCCACAATGCAATGTGTGTGTCTGTACAGGCCCATGAACATTTGTGTGATATTTGTCACACATGAGAATGTCTGTGTTTACTAGTGTGTAACGAAAATGTCATTTTTCATGAGTTGTGTGTATGTTAGTAGTGTGACTGTAGATCAGTGTGTTGTGTATCACCAGAAAAAGAAGAAATTGAAATTATTTTTGTTTCAATTAGAATTTTAATGGCAAACACTGAAAGTGAAAGTTATAATTAGTGATTATCTGGAAACTATTAATATTTTACTATACAAATGCATAGAATTATAAATAGATAATACTTTTTCTGAGATTTTGAGACCACTCCTGTTGCTCTAGCTCTATCCTTTGCAGAGTTATGACCAGAAACTCATATTTGACCATGTTTCAACCTTTAACATCCAGTGTGCCCCGTTTATGTGTGTGCCAACTTGTGTGATGATTGGGTGAATGTTTTAGGCCACAGATGGTTCAGAAATGGCAGAAACTGCCTATCCTTTATAATAGCGTGACATTTCAATTGACCCGTGTGACCTCAAAAGACCTCGGATCATCAACAAACTAATTTTGTGGCATCGGGCACAGGGGCTTGACCCACGTACCAAATTTGGTGACAATCGGTCCATAAATGGTGGAATTGTGGACTGACACACACACACACAGACATACACACACACAGAGACACACGCACATACACAGACACACACACACACACACACAGACACACACACAGAGACACACACACACACAGACACACACACACACACACAGACACACAAAACACACACAGACACACACTCACGCAGACACACACACATACGCAGACACACAAAACGCAGACACACACACACACAGACATACACACGCAGACAGATACAGAGACACAGATACACATACAGACACACACACACACACATACAGACACACACACACACACACACACACACACATACAGACACACAGGGTGAATACAAAACCTGGTCAACCCTTCAGGGACCAGGTAACAAAATGACATGAAGTCATTTTTGACATGTAGGGCAGCGTATATTTCTGAAAAATATAAATATTAACTCTCGTAACTCTCTGGTTCCAGGTAATGTCTTCAACGTGAATGAATAATGAAAATCGCCAAGTCCAGTTTAAACTTGAAAACTACCTCTTGATGACATCATAAGGTGGAACAGTGCATTCTGGGCTTTAGAAATGTAGTCAGGTTAATAATTAAAGATTACTGGGACGTGTGTGAATGAATACAAAACAACTCCAGGTGTGAGGAGGTAACAACATTCTGACACTGCTTAAAGCTCACAAGAATACACAAGAGCCCCTGACTCGCACCAGCAGGAGAGCGCATGTCACTCCCATCTTAAAATCCTTACTCTGGCTCCTTGTTCTTTTTTTTTTTTGTGTCCACTTTAAGACCCTGGTGCTGACCTCTAGGCTCTGACCACACGGCTCCTGCTTACATCACAGAGTTCTCGTGGGCTCAGTCTCGTCTCGCCTTGTGGAAATTATGTCTCGTCCCACCCCTAATGTCTGCTCACTAAGAGAAATTATTGAGTTCAAGATTTATGCATTCATTCTTTTAGATATTTCACGGTAAAGTACAATATAATCATCCGGGAAATGGGACTATGACATCTTCACATTCTTGAACCTAAAAACTACTAATGCAAACGTGACTATAAACGAACAAGAAAACAAATGTAGTGAATGAATAATGCAAAGAGAGCACGGAAATCAAGCACTTTATAATGACACATGAAAACAGATTTGTGAATTTATTGATTTTTTTTTCTTTAATTACAGTGTAAAGAAGATTATAACGTCGCTCAACTTAAACCAAAAACTAAAACCACTATTGAATAAGCAGTGATTCCCCCAAAACATTTTATAATCATGATTCAAATGCAACAGAAAAATGAAAAAAATTAAAAAGATGAATATTTAAAACAACTGGTATTTTGAAAAGAAAACATTGCATTAATTTCTGTTAGATAATAAGTACAGTGCACATTTTAAACATGTCCAAGAGAATTAACACTTGACAGAAGACGTAAATATAAACTGTTAAACTAAAAGAAGAATTTCATGCATTTCAGAACATGTTTGTACAGGTCTAAACTACAGGTACAGCAGATTCTGTTATGTAAATACTTGTAATCTTTGTGATTTCATAATTGATTCTTTACAATTTTGGAGGACAAAGTTGCTATTTGAGTTTAGGGAAATGCACAGTGTCTCTAGGAAACCCGTAAAGCCAGACCCCGACGTAGATAGGCGGGGTCAAAGTGATGTGAACTCTGTAGAGGAGGCTCATGGTGCTTTTCGAGATGCTGTAAAATGCCAAAACCATCGCACTGCGGTCAAAGTAAACTCCGATTCTGGACGAGACCGGACCTGAGACTGGACCTGGCACCTGCGTCTGGATTTTATTGTGCCAAAAGGAATAACTGGTTTTGTCGCAGTTTAAGGCACAGGATTTTTTATTGTTTCCTAATCCACATTCACCTGAGTCGCTTTTTCTGGGAATATTCCTGTAAGAAACTCCTATACGGACGCCCAAACCACTCCACTCCACCTCCCAGTAACAGCGGCCCGTCAGACTCTCTCTGCTCAGGACCTGCCTCAAATGACTGAACCGTTCTGGATCATTGGCATAGTTCTGAGCTAACCATGTAACTGTGGCTCTTCTGTTTCCATCAGACAGAAACAGTCTAGTGTGAGCTGTGTTTGGGTCCAGAGTGATTTGTGTAAAATATTGTAAGAAATCCTCTCTGGTCTTGGGCTCAGCTGGTAACAGAACCTGGACTGGCCTCGGAGCCGGTGAGATGTTGGTTTGGCTCTTCTCCACAGTGAGCTGGAGTGTGTCTCTGAGCTTGGACACAGCTCTGGTCACTTCCTCAAAGTAGCTCCGGTCCCCTGTGTGAATGGTGTGTGTCTCTGTGCTCTGTGTGTGTGCGGACAGTGAAGTGTAGACCTGTATAAACTGGTTATGATCCTGGGTGAGGGCCAGTGTGTCCAGCTCAGAGAGGCTCCTCTTCAGCCCCCTCACGTCCTGCTGCAGTTGGTCCTGGAGCTCTTGGACTCGGCTCAGTTGGGTCTGCTCCTGGGAGCGGATCTCCTGCTCCACTTCAGAGCGTCTTTTGTCCAGGAGAAGGGCCATCTGTGTGAAGCTGTCCCCGCTGCGCTGCACTGCTGTCTGGGCGGAGCGTCTGATGTCCTGGGCCTCCTGTTGGAGCCTCTTCAGGTCTGTCTCTTTGTGCTGGAGGCTCTGGAGCAGCAGGGCCCTCCTGGCCGGCAGCTCTGCCTGCCTCTGAGCCCTCTCTGAGGCAGAGGTCACTATGTCGTGACCCTTATGTTGGTCCACAGAGCAGAGGTAACAGATGCTCTGTTGGTCACTGCGGCAGAATAGATCCATCACTTTGTCGTGTTGAGTACAGATGTTTTCCTGGAGTGTGTGAGACGGCTCCACCAGCTGGTGTTTCTTAAATGCTGCAGCTTCATGATGAGGCTGTAGGTGGCGCTCACAGTAAGAGGCCACACACTGCAGACAGGACTGGACAGCTCTCAGCTTCCTCCCAGTGCACACATCACAGGACACATCCAGAGGTCCGGCATAGCAGCGGGCAGCAGGGGGCGCTGTCTTCTTCATCTGCTCTACTAAACCTGCTAACATGATGTTTTTACCCAGGACAGGCCTGGGGCTGAAGCTGAAGCGACATTCAGGACAGCTGTATAGCTGCTTGTCGTCCTCTTGGTCCCAGTGCTGTTGGACACAGTTCCTGCAGTAGCTGTGTCCACAGGGAATAGTCACAGGATCCTTCAGTAGATCCAAACACACGGAGCAGGAAAAGGCTTCTTGGTCGAATGTTTTCTGTGCCATCTCTCCTGGATCACAGACACATGGAGTTTGACAAAAATGAAACTTAAGAGTGGAGTGAGAGCTGTGGGAGGAGACTGGTTCCACCCACTGCTCTGTCAAGCTCTGGGGAGGAAGCGGGAAACTCTGAGCTAGGGAAAGTTTAAAGGGAAAGACATATTTTACACTTTACTACATCACTATGTTTTATAATATACTTTGTAAGTATGAGACACTGTCAACTACATACTGTCATGTGTTACATCCTTACTTATCAGACTGTCTGTGAATATCAGAGGATGCCAGAAGTTGACAGCAGAGTGTGGTGTGAGGAAGCAGTTTTTGTCTTGTACCCAAATTAAGAAATCTTCTCAACCCGCTAAAATTTGAATTCTGGCGCCAATGACGCAAATACCAGAGTCTTACAAGACTAAACTGGTTAGAGTAACATGAGGATGAATCATATTTGTGACAGACAGACATAAGAATTTCAACTCCCTGTTTCTGGATAAGTGAAAGTATTGACATTCCATTTTTGTGGGATTCTGCTTAACCAGGAAATGTACTGGCAATTGTCCTTCTAAACTGCAGAGTATAGACTGAACATACACATGCTTCAGTTTTAAGGCACTGACAAGAACTGCGCAATTTATGAATCAATAATTAGTGTACAGTGATGGGAAGGTTATTTTTAAAATGTATTCCCGTACAGATTACAGATTACATACCCCAAAATGTAGTTTGTAATGTAATCTATTAAATTACTTAAAGTGAGTAACGCAATCTGAATACTTTGGATTACTTGATATTGTCATGCTTTTTAAAACTACATGAATGTAGCAAACACATCCTGCAAATTCTTGTTGGTTGTCTTCAAATTGTCTATTGAGCCCAAGTCTCCATGAAGAGACAGTTGTTTACTGTAGAGAAGCAAAGACTACAATATCTTAACATAAGATAAGTCTGCTTAAAGACAATAAAAAGCTCAGTCTTTACTTAAATATACTAAAAATACTTAAAATATACTCATAATATAATATACTTAAAAATATTATTGATAGAGAAATGATTTTTATATGAGATCACTACTGCTTTAAATTATGTCCACCTACTGTTAGTAGTGTCATATTGTTTAGTCCTGGTTTTAGACCTGGTTTTAGACCTGGTTTTAGACCTGGTTTTAGTCCTGGTTTTAGACCTGGTTTTAGACCTGGTTTAGCCCAAAATGTGAAAACAGGAACATACTGCCGTATAATCCATTTATTTCAACAAAGTAACTGTAATCCAATTACCACTCATTGAAACAGTAACTATAACTGAATACAGTTACTCATAATTTGTACTCTGATTACATAACGCTGGTACATGTAATCCGTTACATCCCAACACTGTTAGTGTAGTACAACTTTCTAAATGTATACTGTTTTTGTGAAGTCAAAGTTGATTGTGTAATAAACAATCATTTCATATTGTAAAATTTTGACCCAGTTGGTGAGTTATTTTGCACCATTTCAGGATGTTGCTTAATACAATCGTTAAACACAGCAAATGGGCATGAAATGTTCCCCTAATTACAGGATAACTCATATAACAACAAAAATCTGCATTTTAAGAAAATTTACTTAACTGCTACTATCTGTATTATTAATAAGTAAGGTGGAAAACTGTGTTGTGTGTGTGTAGAAACATGTTCTGATACTCATATCTATTGGATAATCAAACTGAGAACACTACATTTAAGTGTTGTCAAATGTTGATGCTGTTTGTCCATGGTTGTTCGGTCCTAGAAAGAGACCTGTCTATCAACTTAAGACACTCGTTAAAGTTAGCAGTGATTTAAAGCTTCACGTTACTAAAGTACAAAACAAATGCAGTATGTGGACCTTTCCACAAGGTGCCGCTATTGTAAAAATATCGTGTTTAAATGTTGCCTCTATAGAAGAAACAAAGAAGTTTTGGGGTTTATCGTCTTTACTTTTAAATCAACGCTAGCAATACAAAATACATTGTTCAACAATGTCAAAAATGCAAAAAATTTTGAGTCATACTTTTTTTCTTTAACAATAATAAAATAAATAAAAATACAGTGCAAGAGGTCTTATACATCTGACTGCAAACATTAAACATCAAAAACAGCTTGTTTAGATTGAATATGGCACTAGGCTGTCCATTAAGATACAGTTGGAACAAGTATATTTGAGAATTTACATTTACGAATAAACTGTTTGGCTAGTAATAAACAAATTATAGAAAAGTTCCTGTTGTCTTAATGACTCCATGTTTTACGTCCTTACAGGTCACATTAGGTAAATCTGAAACAGAAACTTGAACTGTACAGGGAAAGAAACGGGATTACAGGGATAGAAAGATAGAAGCTAAAAGAAACAGGAAATCTGACGAGGAACGAATTTAAACCGTTTAAACAATGAATTTAACATGAACTTACATTAGACATGTTGATTTGTTGGTATTGTTTATTGCATTTATTGCAATTCCGGGTAAAAAATAAATTATATATAAACCATGACAATAAAAAAGATGTCTGATGCAAGATGTCTCTGTCTGTGTAAAAAGAATGGTGCTTTTAGTCATGTGGATGCTGCAGAATAAGGCTGCATGATTAATGGCATTCGTATAATAGAATATACAAATCGCAAAGACTGCTATTTTAAAGTACCATCAGTTCCAACACAAACAACAACAAAAAAGTGCCCTATATTTCGATCTGTAGTTAAATATGTTCTGAAATAGGTCTACATACTTTTTGTATTAGTTCGCTCTATTAATCATTTCCTCTGGACGCCAATTACAATGTGAATGTTGTACACTTTAATTTAGTTTATTTATCTTAACTTTATTTATCCCCGAGAGGATAAACAATCCAATTATTATTACATAAATCACAAATCGAACTGCAATCACAAAGCTTGTCAGAAAAATCACACTTAGCTTCCCTTTTTATTTTGAAAGGAAACCGGATGCAGCTCTATGATAGAAATGCTTGACAGTGTTAAAGCGGCTAATGTTTTGACACGAGAACACATGCTCCAGTGCGATAAGTCTCTCAATAAGATCCCCAAAAGTGTCCATGTCAGCGGGATCTTCTGAACTTTGTCCCAGACTCGGACTCTGACCCAAACTGGGGACGCGGGCGGAGTCTTGGGTTCAGAGCAAAACGAGTAGATAGCACTTGTATTTTCTCCTTTTATAATTATGTAAGTATTTTATATTGTTTATACTATGTAGTTTATATTATGTAGTTGCAAACTGTGAGAAAAAAACTGACAATTTAGTATGATAAAATCTGAATTTGATGCAAAAGTTGTGTCCATAGGAAAAATGCAGACTAGTTCATATTTTATGCATTTTTCAGTGGATATTTTATACGTGAGTGCTTTGATAAAGTTAATATTTTAATGACAAAGTGGGCTATAACCTGTCTATGGCAAGTGGGGTGCATGCTCAAGTAGAATAGGACTTATAGGAATTATTTATTTATTTAACAAGACAGGGACAGTGCATAATTTTCATGAACCTGAACAGGAGAGATGCATTGTACCAGGTTGTAGCACCAGTATTAATTTCCACCTGTAGTCCCTGGGTTCTCCTGGGTTCAACTGTTCTTTCTGGAGACATACGTAGCATGTTTTGGACATCTGGCATAAAAATCGGAAAAATGTAATTATTTGAGTTTGAATGACTTCTGGCTTGTGTAATGCTGAAGCACAGAGCTCTTTGTTTTTCCTGTTTTCCCTGTAGTTCAGTGCCCATGATGAGGAGACTTCTGTTGGTGTCTAACTCCACTCTGCACGGCAGCGGTTACCTGGACCACTGTCAACAGCAAATCACAGACTTCTTTGGAAAGTAAGTATTTCAATGAACATCCCCAAAATGTACCAAATTATATCACATTTAATCATGTTATCAAGTTTATGATCATGTTTATTATCATGTTTATTACTTGTACGGATTAAAATGTCAGAGGGACAGTTTATGTCAGGCGTTTTGTAGATAAAGTTTCTAGATTGAGACGATTTAGAGAGTGAATATATGGTACAGAGGAGGGCGAGTGAATATATGGTAGAGGGGAAGGACTGTAAATATACGGTACAGAGAGGAGAGAGGGAATTTATGGAATAGAGGAGGGACAGAAAATATATGGTACAAAGAAGAGCGTGAATATATGGTACAGAGGTGGGACAGTAAACATATGGTACAGAGGAAGAACAATGAATATAAGGCACAGAGAAGAGAGCGTGAATATTTGGTACAAAGGAGGAACTGTAAATATTTGGTACAGAGAAGAAAGTGAATAGATGGTACAGAGGAGGGACAGTGAATATATGGTACAGAGGAGAGAAGTTTTTGTCGTTGGAGAAGATGGTAAGATGCAGACAAAGGTTGCGATGTGGATTGTGGACTCTCCACTGTACTGGACAAACATGAGCCAGATCTTACCTGAAGCTAATTTAGAATCTAATGACATGATAATAATAATTCAGCATTCACTCTCTCATGATTCATAACATTTTATCATTTTTAGGGACGTGAAGAAGGTGCTGTTTGTCCCTTACGCTCTCCACGACAGAGACGGCTACACCAAAACCGCTCGAGACAAGTTTCGGAGTCTGGGTATGGCTTAGTTTGTTAGTGTCACTGCCATTAACAATAAGTACAGTGTGTTTTTATTGACTTAAAATGGCAGTGTACAAAGATGAAATAGAATGTGATTTCTAGGGGGCTGCTAACACTGCATCATGTCTGCGTTTTTGAGCAAGACACTTAATTAAAGATGCACTGCGTAACATTTCTTGCAGAGGGCCTGCCGCCTGCTTGTCTCCATGGAAATGTTATCGTTTTGTCTAGAATGTTCCACAGTATAGATTAAAATGATCTATAACGAGGGAAACAAGCAGGTTACAGCACTATGCTTCATTACAGTTCAGATCTGCGGAGAGGCGCCCCATTCACAGAACGAATTAATGTATTTTGAGCAATAGAAGCACACGTAATGAATAAATGCTAGATGCATATGCTTAATGTCATACCATCTCAGGCTAAGCAATAACATCTCCATGGAGACAAGCAGAGGTAGATAAAGTACTGTAAAACTGTAATTAAGTACAAGTAGTTACTTTGCTTTATTCCTACTCAAGTAAAAGTAAAAAATAACCATCTAAAACTCTACTCAAGCAAAAGTAAAAAAGTACTTCATTTAAAATGTAATTTGAGTAAAAGTTACTTAGTTACTTTCAATTATTTGATGTACAAAAGGATGAGTCATAAATCTAATTCAGCACAAGTTGTTTTAATTAACTTTTAGGTGATGCAGTGCAAACTTTGTTCAGTGCAAACTTTGTACATGTTAAAGACAACTGAGCTTCACACTAACACTTACTAACACTGAGCTCTTCCTTCTATTTATAGAACTATATAGAACTTAAAACTTTAACTGCATAATAAATTAAATGAATCACATTAATAAGAAATAACAAATTCTGAATTATATGGTCCAACTCACAACACTACAGTAAAAAGAAACCAAAATCTAAGTATGCAAAACACAAATGTTGCACACATTGCACACTGACTGCTGGTATAAAAAATGAAAAAGTGTCATGCCCTGCAGAATATTCTGCCCACTGGACACTACGGCATTAGACTGTAAAACTCTTGTTCAATTTGAGCAGGAGTTGATTTTCAAAGTTTGTTGTGCTAATTCGTGCTCTCTTCACTGTGAACAACAAACCAATTTTTTTTCTCTATCAGTCTGATTTTACTCAGTAACAAGGGTGGGTTCCATTGTAATGAAGTAAAATACTTGGGTCAAAATGTACTCAAATAAAAGTAAAATTACCTATTTCAAAAACTTCTCAGTTAAAGTAACGTGAGTAAATATAATTCGTTACTTTCCACCCTTGAAGACAAGCAGGTGGCGGACCCTCCACCAGAAAAGTTGCTCAGTGTACTTTAATGTGTCAGTGCAATGTCTGATAGAGCGGATTCGAGTTCCTTATAAAGTGTTTTGAAATGCTTTGTAATATGTTGATTATTATTGTTTGTTGCCAGGTTATGAAGTGGACGGGATTCATGAGGCAGCTGACCCAGTTGAGGCTGTCCGGAAAGCAGAAGCGATATTCATAGGTGAGCTAAAAGACATTAAGGCAGAACAGTTTTGTGATAATAATTAGATTTGTGATTTTTTTTTTTCATAGCTGAATTTTTTTCAGAAACATTATTAGAGAGAAGACTGGAATATGAACAGATAAACTGTAATAAGGAAACCTTTCATTTCAGAACATGTTTGTAGAGGTCTCAATTACAAAGTTAGCTGTTATTTTTAGATAATAAGAGGATAGTTATTTATTTGCAAAGGTATTACAAATGCACAGCCTGTGCTAATTGTTACAATTCCTATTTTTAAATTCCTATTTTGATTTGATTGACAATCTTGTAGCTCTAAAATGTATTTCTGTTTTTGGGGTGGCAGAGTGGGTACTTCTTCTGCCCCTCAGTAATGAGGTAGTGGGTCTCCACTTGGCATGTACACGGAAAGTGCAGAAATGTCCCATAGTCCCAAAATCTTTTTATAAATCGTTCCATATTGTCCACATTGTACTCTGCTAAAGCCCATAGTGCATTGTTTCTCAAAGACTGGGTCGTGACCCTCAAGTGGGTTGCAAGAGATTTTTTTGGGTCGCCTTGTCACGATCTACATGTAGGTCTGCAGCCACTCCTCACTTCTTCTCTGTGCACGGAATCTCTGCGCACCCCCTGGTCCTCAGTTTTTTCGGCAGCACTGTCTTGTCTAACCAATTTTCTGTGGGAAACACTGATAAAACTTGAGTATTGTATTTTTTGGACTATAAAGCGCACTTAAAATCCCTTAATTTTCAGAAAAATTGACAATGCGCCTTATAATCCAGTGCGCCTTATGTATTAATTCTTGCTGTGTTTACTGACCTTGAACCGATTTTCACCTATATTCCACTGACTCGTGTTTTTTAGTCCGACAGAAGCTGAACTGCATCAGCGCACAAGGAGTGAGCTGTTTTTTTTTAATCACTTATAGTTTATGACAATTAGCCATGTGGTTTTGGATATGGACAGAAAAAGCTTCAAGCATCTTCAAACTTCCATCTTGTTTCCAATGTTGAAATGAAAATATACAGGACAATGTATAATTAAAAACATTTGTAATTTGTGTTTCCATTTAGGAGGTGGTAACACATTTCGTCTGTTGAAGACCCTCTATGACAACAAGGTGGTTTCAGAGATCAGGAAGCGAGTTCTTGAGGTGATGAACAAACAATAACAAGCAATAATATAATATGAGCAAAAACAGCCTTTAAAATACTTGTCTTTCCAGGATGGCGTTCCATACATGGGCTCCAGTGCTGGAACCAACGTTGCAACGATCAGCATTAGCACCACAAACGACATGCCCATCGTTTACCCACCGTCCTTTGCGGCGATCGGCCTCGTTCCCTTCAACATCAACCCGCACTACCTCGATCCAGACCCCAACAGCCGACACATGGGGGTGAGTGGACTTCAGGGCAAATCAAATGTACTATATTAGAATTGCCTTTTTTCTTGTTTGCCGTAAAGAGTTTCAGATCAATGCATTCCAATCTCCTGCCTCGTAAGGATGTGCTTTAGACACTTTATTCTATTACTGGATAAAAAAAATGATCTGGGTTATAATTGAAATCATTAGTGTATTATAAACGTTGATGTAATGTTGCAATGGCGCATGTCGTAGAAAACACATTACACCTATTTCATCTTCTTTGCGCTGGCTCCCCATTCATTTTGGTTTTAAAATGTTATTGTTTGTTTTTAAAGCACTTGGACACGTGGACTTAGCCAGGCTGGTGCCACCTAGTGCCTCCGCTCAATTTCATTTCTCTCCAGCAACTAGGTCAGGAATTGGAATACAACAGATGGTTCGCAAAAACCCTGGAAGTGCAAGTTCAGGCACCAGCCAATCAGCGAAGAGCCATATATTCAGTGTTGTCAATGATTCCTGAGATCGAGGATTTAAAGCCGGAACAAAGAGAATGCTTGATGAATTTTATCAAGGGGAAAGACGTTATTGCCCTTTTTCCTACGGGATTTGGGAAAAGCTTAATATACCAGTTAGCCCTTTTAGCGGCGAATTACATATGACACGACGAAATGGCAGCGATTGGTTAAATAAAAAAGTACCCGCGTACCATTGAGCGAACGAATTCTAACACTACAAGGTCAGATATTTTCTATGAAGTGAAACGAAGTACATCTCAGACCTCACTGTTCATACACTCTTTCGTTTGCTCTGAGGTCTGAGGTTCAGCTCCAACTTGTCCTCCCCAAAACAAGACTCAAACAAGACCGGGGTGAACAAGACTTTTCTGTGGTTGGCCCCAAACTCTGGAACACTCTCCCCCTCCGCATTAAGACCGCTCCTTCAGTCGATTCTTTTAAGTCTCATTTTAAAAAAACACTTTCACTCAGTGGCTTTTAACACGGCATGAGAATTGTGTGCTGACTTTATTGGCTATTTATTTTGAGTATTTTTTGTTTTGTTTTGTTTTTGTTTGACTTGCTTATTTATTTTATGCTTTATTTTATTTAATGTATTAATTTATACTGTGCCTACTGTGTGCAGCACTTTGGAGACTTTGTGTTTGTAAAATGTGCTATGCAAATAAAGTTGTGTTGGATTGGTGTGGAATGTAAAAAAAAAAAAAAAAAAAAAAAAGAAGAAGTTAATATCAAAGTATTTCTGTGAGACTAACGCTGTGAGTCTTTTCAGGAGACCAGGGAGCAGCGGATCACCCAGTACCACGAGGAGGTGGAAACCTGTGTTCTGGTTGGGAAAATTTTACTTTTGAGCAGATTTGGTGTCTCTTTGTAGCACATTTGTTTAGACTGATTTTCTACTTGGTTGCAGGGACTGAGAGAAGGCTGCATGCTGCTGGTGGAGGGAAACAAAGCCACACTGCTGGGCTCCACAGACGCCCGCCTCTTCAACAGGTACAAATCATGTCTCTGCTCAAATGAAACAGCACTTAAAGCACAACTTGTATATTTAAAAAATGTATTTGTAAAATGAATTTCAAGTTCAACCCAAATAATCATGATCAAGATTTTTTATTTGGGTGCACCATAAAGTCACCTGATCACACACTATAACACATGTTTTAGCTATGGGCACTGCTCTGCTAAATGTTACAGTGAGGAAAATAAGTATTTGAACACCCTGCTATTTTGCAAGTTCTCCCACTTAGAAATCATGGAGGGGTCTGAAATTTTCATTATAGGTGCATGTCAACTGTGAGAGACATAATCTGAAAAAAAAATCCAGAAATCACAATGTATGATTTTTGTTTAACTATTTATTTGTATGATACAGCTGCAAATAAGTATTTGAACACCTGTCTATCAGCTAGAATTCTGACCCTCGAAGACCTGTTAGTCCGGCTTTAAAAAGTCCACCTCCACTCCATTTATTATCTTAAATCAGATGGACCTGTTTGAGGTTGTCAGCTGCATAAAAACACCTGTCCACCCCATACATACATACATCATTTCAGACCCCTCCATGATTTCTAAGTGGGAGAACTTGCAAAATAGCAGAGTGTTCAAATACTTATTTTCCTCACTGTACTTCAAACATTTCTGTCTTTTTCAGAGGGAAGCCGTGTGTGGAGTTTAAACCCGGCAGTGACCTGAGCTTCCTGCTGACAGACGCACAATGACCAATCACAGGACAGAATCCATCTCACCTCAGAGAAAGCTTGAATTAATAAATGTGATGTTTTAAAATGCTGCCAATTACTATTGTTCTCAGGTTGTTAGATATGAAGAGTTTATTTGCTCTCTTAGTGACTCTTTGTTAAATAAAAGTAACAATCAAAAGCAGTGAGCAAACTCAGAACTAAACATAACTCAAATAATCACTTTTGGGCACCGTGGGTTTGTGGTTTACACAGTGACAACAAAACAAATCAATGTCCATGACCGGAGCTGAGTTTCCAAGATTTATTTCAAGTTTAAGGCAAACAACAAGGATACTTTATCTTCTTGGGTTCTTTTCAAAGACAACAAACTAAAGTGTATTTACCTTGTTGAAATGTTTCGGCTGCTACTGCAAGCCATCCTCAGAACTGTCCTGGCTTGCAGCTAGCAGCCGAAACATGTCAACAAGGTAAATACACTTTACTGTGTTGTCTTTGAAAAGAACCCAAGAAGTTAAAGTATGTAAGAAGACAAAATGAACATCTTTGGCTTAACAAGGATACATGTGAAAGGCCTATTCTTGCTGCCTCTCCTTTCGAGTGGTAAAAAACCATAGGCCCACCCAGGTTCACTCTGGTTTACATGTCCCACCCTTCATCCTCTAGGTGACCCAGATTAAACCAAAACCAAAAAAGGTGCTAAATAATACCAACATGGACTAAGAAATTAGCAAACATAATATTAACATAGCAAAAATATACTGTGCAAATTAACAAAACTGAATGAGTAAACTAATTAACAAACAAAAATAATAAACACATTTTAGAATCAACAAAATAAGCAAATAGCTCCTACATTCTGGATTTCAAATGGTTTATATTTCTGTGCAATACTGCCCTCTAGTGGAATAAACCCCGTATTGCACTTAATTGCACTGAATTATATGATTTTAAGAATATTGACTAAAATAATCTTTTGAGTGATTAAATTACAACAAATCTATCTCTTTTATACAGTGTGGGACATTTGCAAAAATATCAATAACAACTTGAGGAGCATCAACATTGAAGAGAATGTTGAAATGTCAGCTGTTAACAGGAATTCACTACGTTTCAGAACATGTTTGAAAAGGAGTTAACCACAACCACCACATCAGCAGATTTTGAGGGCTGCAGTAGTCGACTAAAGAAATTCTTGGTTGCCTAAACACGTAGCCTGTTGTGCATTAATGCAGTCAACTCAGAGCGGTGCAACATATATACAGTGTGTACACAAAGAAGCACTTGCAACTTAATAAGTGAAAAGGCAGATTGAACTGTCCAGTCACTCACAAACCTCCATCTTACTCAACCCAAGCTTTCTCCTTACTGTAGATCAGGGGTCATCAAACTAAGGCCCGCGGGTCGACCCCGGCCTGCCACGCCCCTTTGACTGCCCCCCCAGCCCCTCTGACCCCACCACTTGAACTGTCCATGGCCAATTTTTTTTTATTTTTTTGGCAAATAATAACATGTCTGCATCTTGTATTTTGTAGATTTTTTCAATTAAAATATATTTATATGAAGTACCGTATTTTCCGCATTATAGGGAAATCTGGATTATAAGGCGCACTGTCATTGAATGGTCTATTTTCGAAGTTTTTTCACAAATAAAGCACACCGGACTTTAAATGAAACACAACAGTGTGATGGGTCAGTGGGACTTTGTTTGGTGCGTTCACGGTGACTCTGGGCTTTGTTCAGTTGTGGCGTGTAGGGAGGGTGCTGTCTGGGACCGCTGGATTGTCGGCGTGTTTGCAGTGACTCAGTTGTTCAGTTGTGTCTAGAAGTGGCACATTGCGCTCGCTTTTTCGGTTGGTTCCTCCGTTCCGTTCCTCGTCGGCGTGGAGTGATGAGTGTGTCTGTGGGTGTTTTTTGCCACGTGGTCACTGTCTGAGCTGTGCGTGTTTGCGTGTTCTGCGGGTGGTGCGGCTTTGTAGTTTACTGAAGTCATGCTGGGACACCCGAGTGGATTCATGTATAGGGCGCTCTGGATTGTGGGACGCGCGGTCGTTTTTGTTGGGGTTGGAGGCTTGCGAGCGCGCCCTATAGTGCAGAAAATACGGCATTTATATTTAAATAAATATATGACGTATTTACATTTGTCACCTGACAAGCTTGAGATCAAACAGTGACAGTCAATGTACATGCAGAGTTCTATAGTGCAGTTAAGGACACTATTAAGTATCACTAGTAACGATAAACAAATATGTGCCAGGAATTATGTGTTGATATATGGTAAATGGTCACATTTTTCTATAGCGCACGGCACTCAAAGCACTTTACAACAAGGAACCACTCAACCATTCACACACCAGTGTACGCAGACACTGTGGGCAAGGTGGGTTAAGTGTCTTGCCCAAAGACACAACGACAGCATTCATCTGTGGGAGCTGGAATCACACCAGCCAACCTATGGGTCAGTGGATCTGACCACTCAACCTGTGATGTTTATGTCGAGAGCTGGAATCAAACTGCCAACCTTCAGATCAGTGGGCGAATGCTCTACCAACTAAGCTACTGCCGCCCTCATAGTATTGTATTGTAGAAGTCTGTGCCAGGCTGGTCATTTCTACTACACAATGAAGCTTGCTGGTGTCATTTTGGTCTGGGTCATACAGTTCTGTTATACGTCCTCCCAGACCCCGGCCCCCATCACAGTCAGGAGCAATAATGTGGCCCCATAGAAAAAAGTTTGTGGACCCCTGCTGTAGATAAATCTTTATAAAGAATCAAATAAGTTATCTTGACTTAACAAAGATTTTATTCAAATAAGAACTGGTTTTCTATTTTCATTAAATTACTACACATTTAGTAATTATAGATGAATAAATTGCCAGTTGGATTCCATTGTGTTATTTATTGTTGAGCAAAACAAATTCAGCCATATGTTAAAACGACCATATGACCTGTTCACACCTGATTAAAAAGTAAAGTTTGTGTATTTAGAAAAATAACTTGCTCTGTTTTACATAAGCATCTCAGTGGCCTCTGTACATCTGCAGACTGAGCCATGGTCCACATCAGGTCCATTACTTCATCTCGCGCTCTGACATAGAAACACAAATATGCTCTGGGCTTTGTTTAAACACTGCACTTATTTGAACCAGACGTCAGCGATTAGCTCATTGCTCTGGCACAGTCCGTCCCAAACAACACAGAACTGCAGAGATGAATGAAGATTGTTTTAAAACATACAGAAAACAAAGATAAATCTAGAGCTAAGCCAGGATTATGTTGAGACACAATTACTAAACTGGCTCAAACTTGAACAAAATCAGGACTAATAAAGAAAACAATAACTGTCCCAGGAGGTCTAAACTTGAAACACATCCCGGATTAAATTAGGATGACCAAAACTCAGATGTGCACTATGTAACCTTTCTGGAGGAGACTAAACCACCTGCTTGTTTCCATGGAGATGTTGTTGCTTTGCCTGGAATGTTAGGCATCTTGAATTGATTATATAATAGATGTTTAATTTAAAAAGGTAAAAATGACCTCAATAAACATATATTCATACCAGAGGTGGGACTGGCAGGTCGTGACTTGGACTCAAATCAGACTTGAGTCACTATTTTTAGGACTTGAGACTTGACTTGATAAAATGGACTAAGAATTGGGACTGGACTTAGACTTTAAGGTCAGTGACGTATGACTTGACTCGGAATTGAGGCCTGTGACTTGAGAAGACTTGAAAAGCATTTTTAAATCTGAATTCTTTTGATTCTGACCATAATGATTTACACTAAGATCTTATCAAGACATTTAAAAAGAAAAAAAAAATGTCTACAACTCTTATATAAATACTCATATATAAATATACTATGATTTTATAAGTACTGTTGACCTTAAAAGATACATAAAATACAAAAATCTATGCTCTGTTTGGTGCTTTGGTGTAAAGAGTTGAAATGACTTGAAGGTCAAAGCAGACGACTTGGACTTGACTTGGACTTATGGGTCAGTAACTCAAGACTTGACTTGGACTTGCTTGTATTTGACTTGGGACTTGACTCAGACTTGAGGTCAAAGACTTGAGACTTACAAAACAAAGCCTTGGTTGCACTTCTGATTCATACCATAAACAAGCTTCCTTCTCCACAGATACGACTTGTAGTTTAATGTCGTTTCTGTGCAAGTGATGGACCCTCCTCCACCACAAAAGGTACGTAGTGTACCTTTAATCAAGACAAATCTCACACAAACCATGACATACAAAGGACCAGGACTCTCACATGACAAAATCAAATCAGGACCATATCATATACATTAATATTAAAGGCAAAACCTGAGGTAAACTAGGTCTAAACTAGCGAGGCTGGTGCCACCTAGTGCCTTCGTTCAATTTCATTTCTCTCCAGCGACTAGGTCAAGAATCAGAATACCTAGAAATTGTAGACCATGCACTGGCCAGTCAGTGAGGACCTGTGAAGTCATGACATCAAACTCATCGCACCTGTCTGGGTAAACAGTAAACAAAGCGTCGAGATGGATGTAGACGAAGACAGACATTCTGTGTTGGCAACGATTCCCAAGATCGAGGATTTAAAGCCGGAACAAAGAGAATGTTTGGTGAATTTTATCAAGGGGAAAGACGTTGTTGCCCTTCTTCCAATGGGATTTAGCTCATTACATACGTCAGGACCAAATAGCAGCGATTGGTTAAATAAAAAAATACCTGCCTACCGCTGAGTGAATGAATCCTAATGCTGCAAGGTCAGAAGGTGAAAAAAAACCAAAGTGAAATCGGCGGATCCATCAGGCTAGGTCTGAACCAGGACCAGTCTCAAATCAACTAGGACCTGGTCTATATACACTTATGTTTGGTGATTTCTTAAAAAATATATAATAGAATCTGATGAGAAGAGTGATTAAATGCCTTCACAATTTCATCCTTTTTTTCATCCTTTCATCCCAGTTTTCTAGTGGGACCATTCAAAATGTCATATTTAGTGAGTTAATACACCACAACACTTGCTTATTTCTTAAAGCAGTAGGTTACAATGTGCGTCATCGTGTCCCTTTTCAGACCTGGTTGCTTGTTTCCCTTATGGAATCTGGCAAC